CCTGTGACCTAGTGAGTAATATGTGCTCTGAGTTCTGTGAGCCTCTCTGTCAGTTAATAAATCCAAAGGGAGGAGGTCTCGAGAACTTCTGAATTATAGCTGGTTGGTCAGAAGCACAAGTGACAACCTGGACTTGAGACTGGCATCCGATGTGGGGTTGGGTTGGCTGATTAAGAACTGAGCCCTTAACCTGTGCAATCTGATGCTGTCTCCAGGTAGGTAGCGTCAGAATTGAGGTGAATTGCCTATTTGTGATGTGGGAGAAACTCCTCACCCCACCCCCACCCCAGTGGAATTGTCTCTGAATACCAGAATAGTTTACATTCATTGTCTTGTAGTAAGTCTTCCGAATCCAGTATGTGTTTTACTTTTATAACTCATCATCTAGCCCCTTACAGCTCACACCCTTACAGCCACCCTTCACGTGGTCACCTGACACGGTGGCCACAGGCTGCCCTGTGGGTCAGCACTGCTCTGGGGTGGATGTGGAGGATGGGATTGCTGGGGTGGTCAAGCCATCCTCAGTTCAGTGGACGAAGCTCGTGTTCTCTGCAGTACTGGTACCAGTTTACGTGTCAGCAGCTGTTGCCCCCGACTGCCACGAATGTGGTAGTTTTCACACTCTTCAATGCTTCTCTGCTTGTAGCTGGTGGAACAGTGTGGTTTGAATGTGCACTTTCCCCCTTGCTCTTGTTGTGAGGCTGCTTTTCATTTGTGTACTGGTTGGTTGTTTGCTCTATTTTATGGGGTGCACCTGAAGTGAGCCCATTGTTCTGTAGTTTCTTTTTTTAAAATATATTTTTAGAAATACTTTCTTATTCTTGAGACTGATACTTTGAATTTTACATGTGTTGTAAAGTTCGTCTCTCCCTTGATGGCTGATATTAGCACTACCTATGGTGTCTTATAAAAAAGTTCTTGATTTTAACATAGTCCAAATTTTCAATATTTCTCTTTATAAATACTGCTACTAATGTCTTGTTCAGGAAAACTTTCCTACCTTCTGTTTATGGAGGCTTGCTGCTATATTGTCACTTAATGGCTCTATTGTCTTGTTTCTTGTAAAAAATAGATTTTCAATCCATCTACACTTGATTTTAGTGCATCGTTGGAGCTCGGGTTGCAATCTTATTTGAGTGCATGTACATTTCTAGTTGCTCACATATATTATTGAAAAGTTTATCTTTTGTCACTCTCTGCATCACCTCCTCTCTCATGCATGATGTTTCCTGTGGTTCTGGTCTATGGTATTGTACATGCCCTACTCTATTCTAGTGGTCTAGCGGTCCCATCCTGTGTCAGTGCAACTGTGTCTCATTTTCTATAACATTTCGACATGTCTTGGCATCTTCCAGAGCCAGTCTTCATACATTGTTCTTCTTCAGGATTGGCTTGGCTGGGTTTGGAAACATTTACGTCAATATAAATTATCTGATAGAGGTACCAAGTTCCACCAAAGTTAACTGGGAGGTTGAGTGACATATTGCTTTAAGTCCTCAGATTAATTAGGGTAGAGTAGGCTTTTATGCAATATGGTTTTCATGTCCAGCAACATGCATATTTTCATGTTTATTTACAAGCTTTATTTCTTTAAAGCTTGCTAACTTTCTTATTATGCCCCCAAAATATCTATATATACTTGTAGATTTTTCTATATATGCAGTCATTCATGAAAAAGGCAGCTTTGTTTTCACTTTTCATAGCTTACAACTATTGTTTTTTTATTGTTTTGCTTCTGGAACAGTGATTTTAATATCGCTTTAGCAATCAGTGTTACCACTGAAGTGCTCATGTTTTACAAAGATACATCAACAGATCTTTACAGAAGAGGACTTATCATCTCAGATACCACTGCCATACATGACATACAGAAATGAGTGCATGTACATGGTGTATAAACGCTGCAAATGTGTTTGCACTAAAACCTGCTGGGTTCTAAGTATTCTTATCCCCAAGTGGTTTTGTGGTGTTCAAACATTTCACTACAGTTTTATCAGAGTGAAATGCACTGGGAGGACAAGTGGATTGTTATCTTCATACTCACATTGATATTCATGAACATGTACGGTCCCAGTCATGTTGTAGATGTACATGCATGTCCTAGGTGGGGCACACTGTTCTGCTTGGGAGAATGCATTACATAAACTGTGGGGCAGAGGCTTAATTTGCTTCAAAACTGCCTGAGTCGTATGAATCCTTTGACTGACTTGCACATGGAACAGTGATTTTAATACCTCTTTAGCAATCAAACTTATTCCTGAAGTGATCATTATTTCACAAAGATACTTCAACAGATCTTCACAGAACTGAGCTTATTATATTGGACAGCACTAGCATTCATCACATACGGAAATGAGTGCAGGTACAGGGTGGGCTTCTACTTATTGTTACAGCCTTTCTAGACCAGGACCTGATGCTACTGGCTTAGCTGTGATGTTTACTGAAGACATCCCTTATCTCATTAGGGAAATTCATCTTTATTCCCAGTTGTCCATGAGTTTTACCATGAAGGCATTTGAAACCAACCATTGCTCATTGTTTTATCTCTTGAGAGTTAATCAGTCAAGGGCAGAACAGGAACACATAAGCCTCACTATGGATTTCAGCAGCAGGAATTCAACGTGAGGAATCTGTTATGCCAATGTGGGAGCACACATGGAGCAGAAGTGGAACTCGGTCTGGAAAACTTGGACCTTCTAATCACACCCAAGTACCCAGGCTCAGTTATTTAGCATATATATATGTGTGTGTTATTGAGATATGATTGACATATGGCATTACTGCAGTCTGAAGCCCTAATGATCTGATAGATGCATCTACTGTGATGTGCTCAGCACAATATGTCTTGTTAAATATCCATCACCACATAGTTACACACTTTGTGCTTGTGATGAGAAGTTTCAATTTTTTTCTCTTAGCTATTCTTAAATATACAACATGGTGTTATTAATGATATTATAGTTAATGGTATTAAAACCCCCTACTATTAACTATAGTCACCATGCTATACATTGCCTCCTCATGATTTAATTATCAAATAACTCAAAGTTTGCACCTTTGACCACCTTCACCCTTTTGACCCACCCCACCCTCTGCCTCTGGCCACCACCAATCTGTCTTCTCCATTTGTGAGTTTGACTTTTTAAAACGTTTTCTCATTTAGGAGAAAGTATATGTATTTTTCTTTCTCTGTCTCATTTATTTCAGTTGGTAAAAAGCCCTCACAGTCCATCCATGTTGCAAATGGCAGGATTTCCATCTGTTGTATGACACAAACACCTTCCACTGTGTATATAGCACATTTTCCTCATCCCTTCATTTCTCAATGGACACTCAGGTTGCTCCAACATCTTGGCTATTGTAAATAATGCTGCAAGGAACACAGAGCTGTATAGGTTATTTCAATGTCCTGTTTTCATTTTCTCCAAATGAATACCCAGATGTGGAAACACTGGATCTTATGGCAGCTCTATGTTTAATTTTTGGGGAACTGACATAGTGATTCCTATAGCAGCTGCACCAAGTTACATTCCCAGTCACAGTGTAAGGGGGTCCCTTTCTGTGCATTCTTGCCCACACTCATTTCTTGAGATTTTCTAGACTGCTCAGTGCTGTCAATTGTGGGGCAAAACAACCATGGAAATCCTACCTCCTTTAGTCCTTTGCTTGCACGAGTCAGTGTTCTTTGCAATATGTGAGGCATCTAGGGTAGGTGGGTGATGGTTACCTCTGGTTCATCTGTTCTCTGAGGCAGGAGCTGCCCAGGTTCTGAGGAGCCTCATATTCATAGTAATGTTGAGGTCACTGCTTAAAAAAGAGCAACATGTGGCACCCATGGATTTTCTTAATATGAGAAAACACTACACATCAAGTAAAGAAAGCTGAAATGCTGAAAACCATATCATAAGACAATTCTAAACATCAGAGATATTTCCATCAGTAGTGTGGCGTTCCTGTGTGGCCCACCTGCAGGACACATGACCCCCACATTTTTGACGGATACTGCTTCATTGCTTCTTCACAGAGAATAATTCTGTCATATAGTAATAAATATTAATATTATATTAGTAATCACTATTCATGATTAAATAATATTATACTTATATTACACAGAGAATAGGAAGAAAATTCAGTATTTCCCTCAGCACCATTGATTGGCACTTCTTTTCTTCCTGTAACAGTTTAAAAAACTTGTTTTTCATCACAAAACTTGTCACTGGACTGTGAGAACTCTTCACATCATTGTCATATTTGGGAAAGTGTTTATCAAGTTTCTTTCTTTCCTAGAAGAGCAGTGGGCTTGCAGGTTATTTTTACACATCCCTGGAGCCCTTGTGGGGCTTTGAGAAGGGACCAAGGTCTTGAGGGTCTTTGAGGATTGAGCTTCCTGAGGATTAAGGTGGCAAATTTGGTGCTGTGCTGAGGACCAGCAATTGGGGTCCCAGACAAAAGGGGTGAGGTCTTCCTTCACAAATCCCATCTTGAGGGTACCTGTGTATCGTCACTGTCCCACAGGGCCCCAGAGCCTAGAAGTCCATCACTTGTGAATCTCATGTCCTCCAAACCCTCAGAGCAAAGTGCTTTAATGCTCAGCTTCCCCCAGGGTTCCACCCTCCACTGGACTTGGATCTAAATTCCTACCTCTCCTACCAGCACTTGGTGGTCTAAAGGAAATTTGAGAGTATCTTCTTCCAGAAATTTGAGTGGTTTCAGCAGGAGGGAGGACCCCCCAGGTCACCAGGAGCAGCTCTGACTGCCATGACCCCTGGGTCACCTCCTTCTTGACTTAAACATCAACTGTAAGGTGATCACTTTCAGATTCACACCTGGATGAGACTCTCGACCTCTGGGGGCCTGGGTATAATATTGGGAGGATCAGGCATTTGGCTGAGGTTGAGACAAGCTGATTTCTCAGACTCCACCCAAGTCCCATAGTCTGTGGAGCCTAACTTCCCCTTTCAGGCCTGGCCACAGCTCTGTCACCCACAGCTTCCTGTTGGGGCGTCCTCAGCCCTACCCCACAGCTTGGCATTTCTCTCCCTGACACAGGGACCTAGGCTTGCTCTGCACTGCCAGATGCAGTCATGGTGCCCCTGCTGCTGCTGCCTCTGCTGTGGGGTGGTGAGTGGGCAGAAGGGAGGGGAGATGGGTAGGTGAGGGGCAGAGGCTGCAGCTGAGCCTTTGTGTTCCCACAGGGTCCCTGCAGGAGCAGGCAGGCTATGGGCTTGGAGTACAGCAATTGGTGAGTGTGCAGGAGGGTCTGTGCATCCATGTGCCGTGCTCCTTCTCCTACCCATGGAGTTCCTGGTCTTCCTCTAGCAAACTCTACACCTACTGGTACCGGCATGGAGATAACACAGTCTCTGCTGTGGCCACAAACAACCTAAATAAACCACTGAAGAGGGAGACCCAGGACCGATTCCTCCTTGCAGACCCCAAGACCAACAACTGTTCCCTGAGCATCAGAAATGTCAGGAAGACTGATGCAGGAACCTACGTCTTCCGAGTGGAGAGAGGAAGACATGTGAAATATACTTACCGAGATAAGAAGCTGACATTGCGGGTGACAGGTATGGCGGGGGCCCAGGAGAGGATGCTGAGATATGGGACATGGTCTGACAAAAGGAACAGGTCACTGAGATAGTTCCTGATCCAGGCCTTGGGCCCAGGGTGGTCAGAAGAGCCACAGGACCCAGGGTGAGCTCAGGCCCTGAGTCAGGCATCCTTCTCAGGTTCATACTCTAGTTTCCCAACCTGTGGGACACAAGCACCTTCCTTTCTCCTCCTCAGAACTGACACAGAAGCCAGACATCCTCATTGTGGAGCCCCTGAAGTCTGGCCACCCTACAGAGCTGACCTGCAGCCTGCCAGGGTCCTGCCAAGGGGGAAGTGCTGTCACCTTTCTCCTGGGTGGGGGCTGCTGTTGTCTCTCTGAACCACTGGGAGCTCCACTCCTCGGTGCTCACCTTCACTCCGAGGCCCCAGGACCATGGCACCAACCTCACCTGTCAGGTGAAACACCAGTGGTCTTTGGTGACTACAGAGAGAACCATCTGGCTTAACGTCTTCTGTGAGTGTTGGAGGGATGGCTGGTGTCCTAGGGGCAGTGGGACTGGTCTGTGCACATGTGTGTGTTTGTGCAGGAGGCTGAGCTTACCTGAGAACACTTGTGAATGAATCTGAGTGCAGGTGGGGAGTGGGCCAGAAGGAGAGCAATTCCACCTTCAGGCTTCCGACCTCCCATCCTTCATTTGGGGTGACTTCTATCTGCTCTTCCCCTCTGAGGCATGACCTATCTCTCTGTCCCAGATGCCCCACAGAGCCTCACCATAGACATGTCCTTCAGAAATGTGACAGGTAGGAAAGAACCTCCCTCTCTGGGGCTAAGACCCGATGCTGGGGCCATCATGGAGCTTGGGGGTGTGGGAATGGGATCGGATACAGGAGAGGGAAGGAGGAAAATCATTATCCTTCCTCCCTCTCTTTTTTGGGTGGATGCTGATACCTGTGTTCCACACCCTTCTCTCTCTGTGGTCTCTCTCTTTCTTCTATCTCTTCACTTTTCTCCCCACAGCCCTCAAGATTGTGCAAGACACCTCAATTCCCATCCTGGAGGGGGAGTCTCTGTATCTGCTCTGTGTGTCTGACAGCAACCCCCCTGCACAGCTGAGCTGGTTCCGGGGGTCCCCAGCCCTGAACACTGTCCCCATCTCCAGAACTGCGATCCTGGAGCTGCCTCGAGTGGGGGCTGGGGAAGAAGGAAAGTTCACTTGCCAAGCTCGGCACCCGCTGGGCTCCAGAAGTATCTCTCTCAACCTCTCTGTGGTCTGTGAGTGTGGGAAAGCCTGGGCTCAGGACATCTGTGTCCTGGGTGGGGAGAGGCACTGCTGATCCTTTTCCTCACTCCCCACAGATCCCCCACGGCTGCTGGGACTCTCTTGCTCCTGGGAGAATGAGAGTCTGCACTGCAGCTGCTCCTCCCGAGCCCAGCCTGCACCCTCAGTGCAGTGGCGGCTAGGGGAGGGGTTCCTGGAGGGGAACCACAGCAACTCCTCCTACATGGTCACCTCCAGCTCCACTGGGTCTTGGGCCAACAGCTCCCTGAACCTCCGAGAGGGGCTCAGTGAGGGTCTCAGACTCAGCTGCGAGGCGGAGAATGTCCACGGGGCCCAGAGTGCCAGTGTCCTGCTGCTGCCAGGTCAGAGGTCTGCTGGGGGCAGAGGCTGAGGGAGAAAGGGAGGGATCAAAGAGAAGATGGAACTGGGGAGAGGGGCTGTGGCCAGGTACTGAGTGGTTGCTAGGGTGGGACCCTCAGTCTTGTTTGGAACAGAACAGCAGGTTCTTCAAGGGGGTGGGAAGACAAGACTCTGAATGTGGGAGTGGGTGGGTTCACACCCTTCTTCTCTGCAGGGAAGTTGGTATCTGTTTCGAGAGTGGTTCCTGCAGCTCTTGGAGGTGCTGGTGTCATGGCCCTACTCTCCCTGTGCTTGTGTCTCATCTTCTTTTGCATGTAAGTCCATGTCCTGGGGAGGTGCAGGGAGCTGAGTAGTGGGAAGTACAGAGAGAGGCCCCAGAGTCCCAGAAAGGCAGATCTGAGTCCACACAGATTGGTCCTCTGGCAAGGCAGGCAGGGTAACAGCTTTATTGAGAGAAAATTCTTGTAAAGTGTACAATTCAGTGGCTTTTAGTTTAATCAGAGTTGTGAACCAATCACCACACACAGGAGTGTGTGTGGAATAACAGGATGAATGAAAATTTTAAAAGTTTTTCATTATGCTTAATGCATGAGGCTAAGTGAAATAAGCCAGGTGGTGAAAGGCAAATACCATATGATCTCACCTGTAAGTGGAATCTAATTAATGCAACAAACAAATGAGAAACATAGAACCAGAGACTCAGAAATAAAGGACAAACTGACAGTGACCAGAGGTGGGGTGGGGGAGTGGGATCAAGGGGGAAAGAAGGGGAAGGGCAAGGAAAGGAACATGAATAGAGGACTCATGGGCCTGCCCAATGGGAGGATTGACTGTGGGAGTGGGGGGCAGTGGGGGAAAAGGCAGGACAACTGTAACTGAACAACAAGTAATTTAAAAAATCTTTCCTTAGATCCAGATGAGAAAACAGACCACATCCTTTATTTGTGATTCCACCAACATCCTAGCACAGCCCAGGCAGCCAGTCACTTCCTTTTGTTTCTCTAGATTTGCCCATTCTCCACATTTTGGTGAAATGGAATCATACAATACATGGTCCTTTGTGACAGACTTACTTCACATAGCATAACATTTTCAAGGTTCAGGTGTCATTACTTTATTCTTTTATTTCTAAATGATGTTCTGTGGCATGGATGGGACACATTTTAATTCTCCATTCATTCACTGAAGGGCGTTTAGGTTGTTGTTAGTTTTTGGCTATCATGAGTGACACTGTTATGATTATTTTTGTACACGTTTCTATGTGTAAGAGGGCCTTTAGTTTTGAAAATTTAGTTTAGGTCAAACACCTGGTCACAGGGAGCAGAGCGCTAACTGGTATGTGTGGAGGGTCTCCAGCTCTGGTTCTGGGTCTGGATGCCTCTGTTGTTTTATCAGGGAGTGGGGGCAGCCTGACCACCAATGCTTGATTCACTCTGGCTGCTGAATCCTTCCCTTAGAGTGAAAAACCACAGGAGGCAAGCAGCCAGGAGACAAAAGGTCACAAATGATGAAGACCCTGTCCTGAGTACAGCCACCTGGGTGAGTGATGTGGGTGTCTTCTCATGAGGTGCAGTGGGGTGTGGTATAGGCCCTGTGTATGTCCATTCAGCACATCCAGACTGAGCTCCTCTGTGGTCAGCTGGACAGACAGCTGGGTGGTGACTTTCCCTTCATCTCCCAGAGCCCATGGTCAGCCTTTCACCCTAGCCCTGCTGACCACTGAAACCCACCTCACCTCTTGGCCAGGTACAGCTTGCCAGAAGCATCTCCCCCAAAATGGTTAGTTTCCACCCATTCTGGGCTGGTTACCTCACCTCTCCTCCATTCGTTTTCCCTTTCTGGGAATGGAAATAATAAAGTATCATTCACACTTGGTCTCTTTGAGGATGAAATGTGTTATTATTCCTCAATAAGATCTAATCAATCATAATTCTGATCTTTTAAAATCATTTTATTTATTTATTTAGACAGAGGAGAAGGGAGGGAGAAAGAAAGGGAGAGAAAAGGGAAAGAAAGGGAGAATGTGTGGTCTCCTAGAGCACACTCCCTATGAGGGAACTGACCTGGCTTGGAACCCAGGTATGTGGCCTGACTGGGAATCGAACTGGTGACCCTTTGGTTCCCATGCTGGTGCTCAATTCACTGAGCCACACCAGGCAGGGCTCTGATTTTAAATAAATAGCAAATAGTTGAGTTCATGAGGAGTGTGTGTGGAAGAACAGGATGAATGAAAAAGTGTTCAGTCAGCCCAACTTCCCCTGGAGCCATGTCTGTTTTCTTCTCTCTCTTTTCTCCCCTCCCCTTTACTCAAGGTTCCCAGCAAAACCCCAGGACAGATGGGCCCTCAGACCAAGAGTCACCCACAGGGGACACCTCTGCAGAAGGAGAGGAGCAGGATACCCAGTATGTCAACCTCATGTTTCATGGGAGAAAGAAAAGGGAGCCTCAGGACAGGGAGGCCACCAGCATCGTGCCTGTACTCAGAGATCAAGAAGAGAAGCCAGTGAAGACTCACTCAGAGCTTGGTCCTGGCCAGAGGCATCACAGCCTCTCTGGGGAAAGAAATCAGGGCTAATTGATGAAACCTGAGGAGACCTTGGGCAACATTAACATGAATCACTGTAAGAACATCCACAGGCAGAGCAGAAAGAAGAAAGGTGATGGGATTGGAGAGACCTGGGCTCAAGTGCAGACTTCAGCACTTCCTAAGGCATTGTCTTCAAGTGATCCACTTCCTGCCCCGCACCCCAAGTTTCCCCTCTGTACAGCAGAGGTCACACATGCTACTCAAAGACAGCTGTGAGCATTAAAGAAATCACAACCAACAGAGGTCCAGGGCTTTCCTGTCTCTCTTTTTTGAACAGAAAGGTCCTGGTGGCAAGTTCTCCTGAATCCAGGGGTGACCAGCCAGAGAAAACAGGGAGACAAGTTGTTGGTGTCATTGTCCATGCAGAACTCTTCCAAGCCTCCTCAGGGAAAGACACTGGACTCTGCTGGTGTTCTGTTGTGATGTGGGATCTTGTAGTTTCTGTGGGGTCATCTTGCCTCACTTTCGCCTGTGCCTTCTTCCAGCCGCTCCTGAGCACCAGTCCCTTCCCTATCCCATGTACCGCCCCACTGGGATCTTTCCAACAGCCTGGCGATTGTAAACAGGAGCTGACCAGGTATTTCATCACCAAAAAGGGTTTTTTGTTTTTTTTTTCAGAGACAAAGAAATGGCTGCGATGAAGCTGATGCGGCTACAGCAAGTCAGCAGGTATGAAGTCTTTTTCACAGAGCAGAAGCAAAAGCTTTTGGGGAGGGACTGTTTTGACCATAGAGCTCTGCTGTGACCCTAGAGTGTTTCAGTATGGCCTCCAGCACCATGTAGGATGTGACAGCGCCTCCCACAGGCCTCCCAATTTCTCGCCAGATTAATTCCTCAGGGTCAAAGGGGTGTGCTAGGGAGTTGACCCAGCCTCTGTCAGTCACACACCCATTCCTGACTATTTTGTCGTAGACGACACATCCCAAATCTTCCCCCCTAGCATTCACCTCCTCACCCAGCTTCTCCTCGTGCCCTTTGTTCCTTAAACATTGTATAGTGTTTCCTGCAAAAGTCTTAGCTAATTGAGATCCCCCTCCTGGAGGCCACGCCCTCTTGCTTCACTCTGTGCACCCGTTGCTTCATGCACCCCTCCTGTCCTTCAAACCTGACTTCTTGCTCAGATATGTATTGAGAGAGTGAACTGAAGAAAGAGCTCATAGTCTCCCTCCTCTATATAGTTCGTTTCATTTAATTTTTTCAAAAGAAAAGTCTAAAACAAAAACAGCCAGAATGTCATGAAAGGTACCAGAGTGTATGTGCCTAATAGTAATCTCTCTGATTGTGAGGATGGTAGTCTCCTTTATGTGTGGGGGAGATGTTTCAAGATCCCCAGTTTTGCCTGAAACTACAGTTAGTACCAAATCTTATATATATTATGTCTTTTTTCTATACACACCTATGATAAAGTTTAATTGGTAAATTAGGCACAATAAGAGATGAACAAGAGTAACTAATAAAACAGAAGAATTATAACAATATACTCTGATGAAAGTTATGTGAATGTGTTCTGTCCTTCCCTTGAAATATCTTCTTTTTGTGTACTCACCCTTCTTCCTGTGTTAGTGTGAGAAGTCACCATGCCTCTGTGATGAGATACAAGGAGGTGTATGATGTAGGTGATGAAGCATGAGACTGCTATAAGGGTGACATGTACACAGGCATGTGATACATGACAGTCGATCTGATACCCCAATGTATCAGGTATCACTTAATATCTAGATGTATCCAAATAGCTTTGTTTTCTTTTCACTTTTCATAGCCTATGCCTATGGTTATTGTTTTTCTAGACTAAGACCTGATGCTACTGCATTAGGTGTGATGTTTGCTGAAGACACCCTCTATCTCATTAGGGAAATCATCCTTCATTCCTAGTTGACTGTGAGTTTTATCACAAAGGCACTTCAAATCATCCACTGCTCTTTGATTTATCTCTTGAGAGTTAATCAGCCAAAAGCAAACCAGGAACACAGAAGCCCCACTATGGATTTCAGCAGCAGGAATTCAATGTGAGGAATTTGTTATGCTGATGTTGGAGCACACATGGAGCCAGAATGGAACTCTGTCTTCTAATCTAATCTATGTACCCAGCCTGAATGTTCTTCATATATACATATATATATAATTAACATATAACTATGATATATATGTACACACACATCTGTACAGTGACGTGCTTACCACAATATGTCTTGTCAAATATCCATCACCACATAGTTACACATTTTTTTGGTAATGATAATTTCAACATTTTTCTCTTAGCAATATGCTCTCTTAGCAGTTTTTAAATATATAACATGGTATTATTAACTATAGTATTACAGTTAATACCCACTATTATTAACTATAGTCACCATGCTGTACATTACACCCTCATGCTTTAATTATCTTATAACTGTAAGTTTGTACTTTTCACCACCCTCATCCCTTTTGCCCTGCCCCCACCCTCAGTCTCTAGCCACCACCAATCTGTTGTCTATATCTATGAGTTTGAATTTTAACAATGTTTTTACATATATTTGAAATTATATGGTATTGGTCTTTCTCTGTCTGATACTTCACTTAGCATAATGCCATCATGATCCATCCATGTTGCCACAAAGGCAGGATTTCCTAGTTTTTTTTTGGCAGACTAGTATTCCATTTATATACACCACATTTTCTCCATCCATTCATTTATAAATGGACACTTAGATTGCTTCTACATCTTGGCTATTATAAGTGATTCTGCAGTGAATGTAGGGGTGCATATGTTAATGTTTTCATTTCTTCCAAATAAATGCACAGAAGTGGCATTGCTGGATGTTATCAGAGCTCCGTTTTTAATTTTTGAAGAACTGCCATAATGATTTACATAGCTGCTGCCCCAACTCACATTCTCAGCTACATTGCAAGAGGGTTCCCCTTTTAGGACATTCTTGCCAACACTTACTATTTCTTGAGATCTTCTAGACTGCTTGGGGATGTGAATTGTGGGGGAGAACAACCACAGAAATCCTGCTTCCTTTAGTCCTTTGCTTGTACAAGACAGTCTTCTTTGCAATGTGTGGGGAGTCTGGGGTGGGCGGGGAGTAGAGCTGGTTACCTCTGCTTCACATGTTCCCTATGGCAGGGGCAGATCCAATTTTGTGAAGCTTGATATTTATACTGATGTTGAGATCACTGCTTCAAAATAAAAAAGCAACATGTGGCACCTATGAATTTTTCTGAAATGAGAAAAACACATAATATCAGTTGAAAAATGTTAAAAAGCAGAAAGTCAAAACATAAGCCAGTTTTAAAATTATAGACTATTACCATTAGTAGTGTGGTGTTCCTCTCTGGCACACCTGCCTGAAACATTTTTATTCAAACATTTTTTAAGAAGTTTTTTAAAAAAGATTTTATTTATTTATTTTTTAGAGAGGGAAGGGAGGGAGAAATAGAGAGAAACATCAATGTGCGGTTGCTGGGAGTCATGGCCTACAACCCAGGCATGTACCCTGACTGGGAATCAAACCTGCAACACTTTGGTTTGCAGCCCGAGCTCAATCCACTGAGCTACGCCAGCCAGGGTTATTCAAACATTTTTTATTCAAACTCTTTGATTGCTAATTTATAGGAAAATAATTCTGTCATATAGTAATCAATATTAATATTAGCTTAATACACATCATTAGTTGTTGTAATATGATATTTATGTATCATAGTAAATAGAAAGAGAATTCAGTATTTCCCTTGGCACCAATGATTGACATTTCTTTTTCTCTTACATAGTTTAAGAAAGTTTTTAAATCACACAGTTTGTTACTGGGATGTGTGAACTGTTAAATATCATTATCATATTTGGGAAGAACTTTACCAAGTTTTTTCTTTTATAAAAGAGCAGCTGGATTGCAGGTTACACACATACCTGGAGCCCTTGCTGGGGCTTTGAGAAGGGACTGAGCACATGAGGGGCACTGGGGATGGAGCTTCCTCAGCTTTAAGGTGGCACATTTGCTGCTGTGCTGTGGGCCAGCCTTTGGGGTCTCCACTGAATGGAGCAGGATCTCTCAGCACACACCCCACTTTGAGGAGACCTGTGTACTGTCATTGTCCCACAGACCCTCAGACCCTGGAAGACCATGACTTGTGCATCCCATGTCCCCACAGAACAAAGTGCTTTAACGCCCAGCTTTCCCCTGGGTTCCACCTTCCACTGGAGTTGGGTCTAAATTCCTTCCTCTCCTACCAGCACTTGGTGGTCTAGAGGAAATTTAAAAGTATCCTCTTCTGGGAGGTTCAGTGGCTTCAGCTGGAGGTTGGGTCCTCCCTGAACAGTTCTGCCCACAATGACCCCTGGGAGACCCCCCCAACTCGACTTAAACATCGTCTGCAAGATGATTGCTTTAACATTCACATCTGGACCAGCCTCTCAACTCCTGGGAGCCTGGGCACATTCACTTGGAGGGTATGGTAAAGGGCTGAAGTTCACAGGATGATTTCTCAGCTGCCACCCCACCCCCATGGCCTGTGGAGCCCAAGTTCCCCTTTCAGGAAGGGTCACAGGTCTGTCACCCACGGCTTTCTCTTGGGATGTCCTCAGCTCCATCCCATAGCTGGGCATTTTCCTGCCTGACACAGGAACATAAACCCTCTCTGCCCTGTCAGGGGCAGACATGATGCCCCTGATGCTGGGGCTTGAACCTGACCCTGGGGTCACCATGGAGCAGAGGGGGAATCAGAGTGTGAATGGTATCAGATATGGGAGAGGCAAGGAGGAAAATCATCACCTTCCCTCCCTCACCTCTTGTGGGTGGGTGCCTGCCCTGTGTGTTCTCTCTCTCTCTCTCTCTCTCTCTCTCTCTCTCTCTCTCTCTCTCTCTCTCTCTCTCTCTCCACTTCTGTCCCCAAAGCACTCAAGATTGTGCAAATCATATTCCATCCCATCCTGGAGGGCAAGGCTCTGTGCCTGTTGTGCATGGCCAACAGCAACACCCTTCCTGCAGTGCTGAGCTGATTCTGGAGTTCCCCAGTCCTGAACATCCCCCCACCCCCACCCTGCCCCTGATCTCCAGCAGCAGGATCCTGGAGCTGCCTCGTGTGAAGACTGTGGAAGAGGGACAGTACACCTGCCAGGCTCAGCCCCCACTGAGCTCCAAACATGTTTCCTTCAGCCTCTCTGTGCAGAGTGAGTTGCAGGATAAGTACTAGGGGTGGGGAGCCAAGTCAGGTGTTGGGGCTGTGGGCAGACTGAGATCTGGAGTTACAACTTCACACCCTCTCCTTTTCCCCAGGACCTCCCTGTTCCTGCAAATGTGTGACCCAGGAGCAGTAGGCCTCCTGGCCCCTGGTCCTCACTCTGATCTGAGGGGGCCTCATGGGAGCTGGCGGCTCTATTATACCAGGTGAGCAGCTCTGTCTCTCTACTGGGAAGGTCAGTGATTGGCCCTGAGTTCCAGGTGGGGCTGAGCAGTCCCACCTGCCTGGAGTTAGAGCTAAAGGGTCTGAGTCCCTGAGCTGAGAGCTGTGTTGGCCCCACAGGTGTGGGGACCCCCAGAAAATGAGGCTGACATCCTGACTGACCCTCCCTTCTTGTGAATATGGCACTGAGGTGAGACATGGAGTCCAGAGGGGCGGTCATGGGACATCAGTGTCACCTTCTCCCTGGGAACTCCTGACTCACCTGTCTCACTTGTACCCTTGGGGTTTTAATTTGTAAGTGACTGAATGAGGACAAGGAGAGTCAACACCAATGAAAGAAACGCTTTTTATTCCTTTCATTTACTGAGAGGAGGCCCCTGCCATGCCTGGCAGGGCCCTGGGGGAAGCACCACGTTTCATCAGAGAGCAGATGAAAGTGAGGGGCAGACTAGTCAGAGTCTTTATTGGCGTTTCCACGGGAAATACAAGGCAGGGCAGGGTGAACAGTTGAGGATCAGCTAATATGAAGAAATGAGGGTTTTCTTTCTTCCTGTGGGCTAGTCTGTATTTCTCTGGTCCCAGGTCCTGGGTGATTGAGGGCAGGTTGGGGTGATTGGAAATATGGGCTCAGGATTAGTTGGTTTGCACCTGATAGGCTGTTCGTGGCAGAGATCTTTCCTGTCTCTGAGAATTGGTTGTTCTGGGAGGGGCTGTCTCTCCTTGTTTAGCAAGGATTTTAAGATGTTAAAACATATAAGATGTAGAATATAAACAAGAAGTGATGCACACCAACTGACTGCCCCTTTGCTGTTGCCTGTATCTCTCCCACTCAAGTTGTCCTCTCTGTCTCCCCACCCACTGCTCCTCTGTTTCCATCCCCAGACCCAGGAAGGGAATGAACTTGGGGCCTTACCCTCCCATTGCCCAGAAGTTACCTGGTTAGCACCTGAGTTTCTTGTCTCCCAAACAGCACCGTCCATGTAGATGTCTGTGTGCGGTTGAGTTGGGAGCACAGCTCTGCCTTTCAATTCAAAGATGCCAACCTTGTTATGATTACTATTTAATTATAAATAAAAATTTTATTAAGTTATACAATATAAAGTTTCTTGAGCCAAATTATGTGATTCTGAGAATGAATATAAATAAGTTAACAGTTCTGGAACAAACCTGTTATGAATGTTTGCAATGAATGCATTTCTCTTCTCTAGCGGGTTTCACAGAGTCTAGATCTGAAATGTACAAAACAGGATCTGAGTCTATTTTAGCTCCTGAAGGACCATCCAATCCTCCCCTGCTCCCCGAGGACTAGCATCTCTTGAATGTCAGAGTAGGGGACCAGAGTCATGTGAAATTTTCCGGAACATGAAAATACAAATTACACCAAGTTGGGCCGAGGGTTTTACTGGCCTTGGTTTTCCATTCAGGATTGGAATGAGCCAGACCCTTGCTGAGAAGCTGAGTCAAACAGACACCCAGGGATGTAAAGTGCAGCATAGAGAATATAGACAATAATAATGTAATAAGTACATATGGTCCTGGTAGGCACTGGAAATATCAAGGGGATCATTTCGTAATGTATTTGATTGTCTGACCACCATGTTGTACACCTGAAACTAATACAAAATAATATGGAATGTAAACTGTAATTGAAAAATAAAATTTAAATACTAAAGAGACACCCTTTGGCCTGTAGGATTTTTTTGCTTGATGCATCAGTGCATCAATCATTCCAAATCCTCCATATCAGATTCCTATAAGGCAAGACAAAGGAGCACAGTAAGCCTGCAGAAAAGAAAATCATGGGGACGTGTAGTGATAAACAGCTTCAATGTTTGCACATCCAAAATTAGCATTAGTGATTTTATGCCATGTGAATATCACCCCCATAAAATTTTGTTCATTAGTTTATTTGGAATAAAATAGACACTCTCTCTCACACATACACACAGAAACTGTCACACAGAAACTGACACACAGAAACTGACCCTCCTTTCTCTGAGGTGAATTCAGTGGCCTCTCTTGAATGAGATAGTGGTTATGCCTTTTCCCTAATTCATTACCGTGCATTGTATTAAGATAGTCCTTGTGCTTTGAGGTGGGTCAGCCTGGCCTTCTCTCTATTCTGAGGCCCACCTTGCCTGGGTGCAGGTTATGGGAAATTTCCTCTTTTGCCCTCGTCCATACCTGTGGCTGCAGTCAACTTTCTCTCCTCTCACCACCTCATCTGTCCCTCACACCTGACCCACAGGACAGAGGATGGGCCTAGGGGATGAGGCTGTGTTGGGGCCAGGTCTGCAGTCTCCAGTGTGAGAGGTCCCTCCTGTGTTGGGTAGCGTGAAGGCCAGAGGGAAACAGGGATGGGGAGGGGACCTGTGGAATCAATCACCAATGGACTGTGATTTAATTAATCATGACTATGTCATGAGGCCTCCATAGAAACCCCAAAGGACACGGTTTGGGAGCTTCAGGTTGGTGAACAGATGTAGGTGCTGGGAGAGAGGGCACTTCAGAG